GTAGGGTTTCGAGGGTGTAGGGGGCCCCCTTGCGGGGAGTTTGGGCGTAGCGGTGTCCGCTTGTGCTAGGGTTTAGGGTTTAGGGTTTAGGGTTTAGGGTTTAGGGTTTAGGGTTTAGGGCTTAGGGTTTAGGGTTTGGGGTGCTTGTGGGCCGGGCGCTGTTGGCGTTGACACTTCGGCGTTGGCAGGCGCGGCTGCGTGCGCGGAGAACGCCGCACTTGAAGTCTAGGGTTTAGGGTTTAGGGTTTAGGGTTTAGGGTTTAGGGTTTAGGGTTTAGGGTTTGTTGCAGGGCGTTTGAGGCGGAGAACGCGGAGGTGCAGCTGCTGGGGGTGCCGCGGGCGCTGAAGAAGCTGGAGAGCCGCGCAGCAGCAGCAAAGAAAGTTTTGAGTGCCAACAAAACAACAAATGTGAAAATAGAAGGAGTTTATAAAAACAAAAGTTTGGAAAAACTGCTGACTCGCGAGGCCCTCGAGCAGCAGCTCGAGCGCAGCAGCAGCAGCAGCAGCAGCAGCAGCAGCAGCAGCAGCAGCAGCGGCGGCGGGGGGGGGCTGCTGCAGCAGGTGGGCGCTGCTGCAGCAGCGGCGCTTGCTGCTGCGGGCGAAGCAGCAGCAGCAGAAGAAAGTTTTGAGTGCCAACAAAACAACAAATGTGAAAATAGAAGGAGTTTATAAAAACAAAAGTTTGGAAAAACTGCTGACTCGCGAGGCCCTCGAGCAGCAGCTCGAGCGCAGCAGCAGCAGCAGCAGCAGCAGCAGCAGCAGCAGCAGCAGCAGCGGCGGCGGGGGGGGGCTGCTGCAGCAGGTGGGCGCTGCTGCAGCAGCGGCGCTTGCTGCTGCGGGCGAAGCAGCAGCAGCAGCAGCAGCAGTGGAGCTGCTGGGGGGCGGCTGGCGAGTGCCGCGAGTGCTGCAGCAAATCAAAAAAATAAAAGGAGACAGCAGCACGAAGACACATTTAAATGGAGACGAAGCAATGGCAACAGGAGCAGCATTTGCTGCTGCCAACTCCACTGTGGCTTTCCGCGTCAAGAAGCTGCTGCTGCTCGACGGCTCGCCCCACACCTACTCCCTCCGCTTCCTCCCGCTGCAGCAGCAGCAGCAGCAGCAGCAGCAGCAGCAGCAGCAGCAGCAGCAGCAGCAGCAGGAGCAGCAGCAGCAGGGGGAGGAGGAGGTTGCGAGGGCAGAGCTGATCTTCTCAATTGACACTGCGGGGGTAATTGAGCTGAAAGATGCAAACTTGGTTGTGGAGAGGAGTACGTACACCGCAGAGGACCCGAAGGAGCCTGCTGCTGCTGCTGCTGCTGCTGCTGCAGCAACTGCAGATGCAGCAGCAGACCCAGCAGCGGCAGCGGGAGACGCCGCGCCTGCAGCAGCAGCAGCAGCAGCAGACGGCGAGGGGGAGAAGAAGTGCGACGACCCCGCAGACCCCGCCTGTGCGGCTGCCAGCAGCGACAGCAGCAGCAGCAGCAGCAGCAACAGCAGCAGCAGCAGCAGCAGCAGCAGCAGCAGCAAGGGGAAGCGGGTGAAGGTGGCGTCTCGGCACCCGCTGAGCGTGAGCAGCAGGCACGCAGCGCCAGTGCCGCTGTCTGCTGCGGAGAAGCAGCAGCTGCAGCAGCTGCTGCTGCAGCAAGAAGCAGCAAACCGCGAGGCGCTGCTGCTGCAGGAAGCCCTCAATGCTCTCGAAACTTATATTTATGCAGCAAGAGCGCAGCTGCGGGAAGGGAAGCTGGATGAAGTAACGGAGCAGCAGTTTAGAGAGCAGCAGCTGCAGCAGCTGCAGCAGCAGGAAGACTGGGTGTACGGGGAAGCAGCAGCAGCAGGCCTTGCTGCAGTGCAGCAGCAGCTGCAGCAGCTCAAAGACACCATGGAACCCGTCTTCCTGCGGCAGCGAGAAGCAGCAGCAAGAGTCTCCTTAGTCCCCAAAGTGGACCAGCTGCTGCGAGATGCTGCAGCAAGACTGGAGCAGCAAGCAGCAGCAAGGCCGTGGGTGGCAGCAGCACGGGTTTCGGGTGTACGTACAGCGCGCGAAGAGCTGCTGCAGTGGTGGCAGCAAGTCAAGCAGCAGCAGCAAACCCGCTCGCTGCTGCTGCCGCCGCTCTTCACGGAAGCAGAAGTAAAAGCAAAAGTCAAAACTCTTCTCAACCAAATCAAAGCTCTCGAAAGCATTCCCAAACCTGCCAGCAAGAACAAGAAGGAAGCAGCAGCAGACAAGCAAGCAGCAGCAGACAAGGAAGCAGCAGCAGACAAGGAAGCAGCAGCAGACAAGGAAGCAGCAGCAGACAAGGAAGCAGCAGCAGCAGACACGGAAGCTGCAGCAGACACGGAAGCTGCAGCAGAGAAGGAAGCTGCAGCAGAGCAGGGAGCAGCGGAGGAGGAGGCAGCAGCAGATAAGGAAGCAGCAGCAGATAAGGAAGCAGCAGCAGATAAGGAAGCAGCAGCAGACACGGAAGCAGCAGCAGAAGCAGAAGCAGCAGAAACGGAGACAAAGGAGGAAGCAGCAGCTGAGGAAGAGACACGAAAGGAAGCAAAAGACGAACTCTAAAGGTGGGGTTTGAGCAGCAGCAGCAGCAGCAGCAGCAGCAGCAGCAGCAGCAGCAGCAGCAGCAGTTGCTGCTGAAAATTGACATGTGAAGCTGCAGCTGCGGCCGGCAGAGCAGCAGCAGCAGCAGCAGCAGCAGCAGTTGCTGCAGGCGCTGCTGCTGCGGCGGTTTTGATGCGTGGGCGTCAGCAGCACAGAGAGGCCCCACAAACTTGAGGGTTTGGATTAAAGCTAGCGAGGGTTTAGGGCCTAGGGTTTAGGGTTTAGGGTTTAGGGCCCCCTTGAGTAACTTATTATTTGTTGTTACGCTGCTTGGGCCAGAGGAGGGGGGCCCTGCTGCTGCTGGGGGCCCGCGGGGCGAAAGAACTGAAGTAGGCAGCCTGTTTTGCTGCTGCTGCTGCTGCTGCTGCTGCTGGTGCAGCAGCAGCCCGTGGAGTTGCTGCTGCTGCTGCAGCAGCAAAGCGCGCCGAAGCCTGTGCTGCAGCAGCAGCAGCAGCAGCAGGCGTTTGGTGTGTATGGGCGGCGCGGCGGGCCGCGGCGGCTGGGCTGTACGTACACCTGAGAGTGGAACGAACTGGACTAAAACTTGCGAGGGCTGGGGTGTACGTACACCTGAGAGTTGGCACGAACTGGAATTAAGTTCCGACGAATTATAATTCATTATTAGCTGCTGCAGTGTAGACTTAGAAGAGAAAAGAAAGAAAGAAAGGCAGAGAGCCGGGAGTGCTAGAGTTGCCTGTACGTACACCCCAGCATCGGGGGTTGCGCCCCCGGATCTCAGCTCTTAGTCGGGGGTTTTTCTCGCGGATTGGACGAAAAAAAATGTTTTTAATATTTTAAATCAATAAAAGAAACTCGGGAGAAAAAGAAGGCGCTCTTCAGTGCGCGCCGGGGTGTACGGGCAGGTCTGGGCTAACCGTGTCGGTGACTCGAGGGTTTCGCCGCGAGCACCCGACTCGCAGCCTTTTCTGCTTCTTCCTTCGCATTTCTTTTATTTATTTAAATTTTTTTAAACTCAAATTCAATTTATTTACTTTTAAACGCGCCGTTGCCCTCCGTCGCGAGCAGGGCGGCAGCAGCCGCCGTCGCGGAGCCGGCGCTGCGCGCAAACCCTAAACCCTAAACCCTAAACCCTAAACCCTAGACCCTCGCCCGTCTGCCGACTCCTCGCGGCCTCCCGCGCGGGGTCGTGGGCCTCAGGTGTACGTACACCCCGCCAGGATGGAGACAAACCCTAACAAAGAGGGGGCCCCTGTCCCTCACAAACCCCCGAGAATAAGAAAAAGATTGCCCAAGAGAATTCCCCCCGAGGCTGCCTTGGAGGTGCAGAGTCGAACCCTCTTGAGCCCGAAGGACATTGAACTGCTCTACGCGAGGCGAGGGTTTAGGGTTTAGGGTTTAGGGTTTAGGGTTTAGGGTTTAGGGTTTAGGGTTTGCGCCCAACGGCCAAGTCCTAGGGTTTAGGGTTTCGCCAACACCCCCTGCGCACTCCCTACGCGGCCAAACCCCCGCGCGAGGCCGCCGGCCGCTGCCGACGCAGCCCTCCCCAGCGCCTAGGGTTTAGGGTTTAGGGTTTAGGGTTTAGGGTTTAGGGTTTGCGTTCAGGTTTCGCTGCGTCGCCCCTTATGGCTTGATGAACTACTCCGCCTTTTGCTCCATGTTGGGGGTTTTGGCGATGTTGAGGGAGACGCAAATAACGGACCGTCTTTTCAAGGCTTTTGACAGGGACCACAACACGGAGGTGCAAACCCTAAACCCTAAACCCTAAACCCTAAACCCTAAACCCTCGGCTTCGGGCCCTTGAGTGTGTCGGCTGTTTCCCCGCGCGCAGCGCTGAGCGCTGCAGCCACTTCGCTCAAAACCCTAGGGTTTTGCGCTCAGGGGTCGCGTTTGGGGGCTGAGGGTTTAGCGTTTAGGGTTTAGGGTTTAGGGTTTAGGGTTTAGGGTTTGCGGCTGCAGCTGAACTTCACCGAATTCGCTGTCGCCCTGGGGACAATGCTGTGCGGCAAAGAAGATGACAAACTTGACCTCGCCTTTAGGATTCTAAACCCCAGGTTTGTTCTTTTTCTTTTTTCTTTTTTTTTATTTCTTTTTTCTTTTTTTAATTTTTTTATTTCTTTTTCTCTCTTTTTCTTCCCTTTTTTCTCTTTTTTTGTCCAGTTCTTTCTCTCCTTTTGTCCCCCTTTGTCTCTGTCTCCTTTTGTCTCTTTTTGTCTCTTTTTTGCCTCTTTTTGTCTCCGTTTTTGTCTCTTTTTGTCTTTCTTTCGTCTCTTTTTGTCTTTTTTTTGTCAGTTTTTTTGACACTTTTTGTCCCCTTTTATCTCCGTCTCTTTCTGTCTCTTTTTGTCTCTTTTTGTCTCTCTTTTATTTTTATTTTTGTCTCTTTTTTGTCTCCTTTTGTCTCCTTTTGGTCTCTTTTTGTCTCCCTTTTTCCTTTCTTCTCTGTTTCCTTTTTTATCTCTTTTTATTTCTTTTTTTGCCTTTTTGTCCCCTTTTTGTCTCCTTTTTTGTCTCTTTTTTTCTCCTTTTTGTCTCTTTTTGTTTTCTTTTTCGTCTCGTTTTCTATCCCCTTTTTATCTCCCCTTTTATCTCCTTTTTAATCTCCTTTTTTGTTTCTTTTTGTCTCTTTTTTGTCTCTTTTTTGTCTCCTCTTATGGCTCCCGTTGTCTCCGTTTTTATCTCCTTTTTGTCTCCTTTTTTTGTCTATCTTTTCCATCTTTTTTGTCTCCTTTTGTCTCCTCCTTTATCTCCTTTTTTCGCTTTTTCTTCTTTTTGTCTCCTTTTTGTCTTTTTTGACTTTTTAAAATCTTTTTTTGTCTCCTTTTAATCTCCTTTTTTGTCTCTTTTTGTCTCTTTTTTGTCTCCTTTTTGATCTCTTTTATTCTCTCTTTTTGTCTCCTTCATCTCTTTTATTTCTTTTGTCTCTTTTGTCCCTTTTTTCCTTTTGCTCCTCTTTTTGCGTTTTTGCTGCTGCTGCTGCTGCTGTTGCTGCTGCTGCTGCTGCTCCTTCATTCCTGTGTCTTTGTTTTATTTTTCTTTATTTTGAAGTGTTGAAGATTCTTTTTTTATTTTTATTTGTTTTTAATTTTAATTTTCAATTTTAATTTCATTTTTATTCTGCTGCTGCCTTTTGTCTCCTTTTGTCCTTTTGTCTCTTAAGTGCTGTCCCCATTCGCTGCCTCGCCTAAACCCTAAACCCTAAACCCTAAACCCTAAACCCTAAACCCTAATTTGCATTCCCTTCTGTGCGGCTGTTGCTGCCTCTACCATAGCCGTTAACCCTAAACCTCAGCTGTGATCCCCCACCACAGCAATCCCTAAGCCGTAAACCCTAAACCCTAAACCCTAAACCCTAAACCCTTGGTGCTTGGCTCCCTTGCAAATTGATGAGCGGGGCGCTGGCTCGCGTGCTTACCCAAACCCTAAACCCTAAACCCTAAACCCTTTCCGTTTGTGCTTAGCTTTACGGGGACCGGAGCCAGTCTGTCGGACTATGACTTCGAAGAAGATGAGGAAGAAGACAGCAGCAGCAGCAGCAGCAGCAGAAGCTCAAAGGAGGCACCAGGAGATGCAGAAGCTGCAGCAGCAAAGCCAGACCAGCAGCAGCAGCAGCAGCAGCAGCAGCAGCAGCAGACACAGCCACAGCCACAGGAGAAAGATGAGCAAGAAAACACAAGCCGGCCGCCGTCGCCGCAGGCGCAGCTGCAGCAGCACCTGCAGCATCACCTGCAGCAGCAGCAGCAGCAGCAGCAGCAGCAGCAGCAGCAGCAGGCGGCGAGCCCAGAGCCTTCGCCTTTGTCGAAGGCGCAGCAGCATCGGCAGCAGCCGCCTGCTGCTGCTGCAGCTGCAGCGAGCGAGCAGCAAGAGCCCGCTGCGGAGCGGGCGCGCCCCCCGTCACCGCAGCAGCAGCAGCAGCAGCAGCAGCAGCAGCAGCAGCAGGTGGTGTCGCGCCACGGCCGCGTGGTGAGCCTCGCAGCTTTTCGGAAGCAGCAAACCCTCGTTTGTGCAGACAGCGTTTCCCTCGAGGGTTTTGTGTCTCTCATTAGAGCTGTGGAAGCTTCCAGGAGGATTTTAGTTGGAGACGAAAGAGCTGCTGCTGCTGCTGCAGCAATCCAAACTGTCTTCTCCCGAGCAGCAACTTGGCTGCCCGACGCCACCCAAAGGCTTTTCCTCAACGACTTCAAAGCCGCAGTCCGCAGCAGCCCGCCCTTCCTCGCGCTGCTGGGCGTGGACGTCGCTGCAGCAGCAGCAGACACCCCCAAGGCCTGGAACCGTAAACCCTAAACCCTAAACCCTAAACCCTAAACCCTCAACCCTCGGCCTCACGTCGGCCCTGGCCGCTGCGCGGGCAGCGGCGCTGCTGCTCCCAGCTGCAGCACCGAGGCGGCTTGCTGGCGCGGCGGTCGAGCAGGGTTTAGGGTTTAGGGTTTAGGGTTTAGGGTTTAGGGTTTAGGGTTTAGGGTTTGCGGGCTGCAGAGGCAAACGAGTCGAATAAGGCAAAGACAGAGGCCGCGAAAAACCCTCAAGACTCTTCAAGCCAGCCGGCCGCCAGCACGTCGGGCTTAGATGCAGCAGAACGGAGGCAGCAGCAGCAGCAGAAGCAGCAGCAGCAGCAGCGACAGCGCCAGGAGCTGCAGCAGCTGCAGCAGCAGCACAAACAGCATCTGCAGCAGCTGCAGCAATGCGTCGCAGACCTCCAGGAGATCGAGAGACACTTCTACAAACTAAAAAGGCAACTCCGGATGCAAGAGGGTGCGCCCCAGACTGTCCTGCTGCTGCTGTTGCTGCTGCTGTTGCTGCTGCTGCTGCTGGCGTTGCTGTTCATGTTGCTGCTGCTTCTGCTGGCGTTGCTGTTCTTGTTGCTGCTGCTGTTGGTGCTGCTCTTGTTGCTGCTGCTGCTGATTGATTTGCCTGGCTGCGCATTTGAATACCTCATCGCTTCCCTGTTCGCTGCTGCTGTTGCA